GGCCTGAGCCGAAGGCAGTCTCTCAACCAACTGAGCCACCCAGGTGCCCATTTAGGAGCCTTCTTTTTCTCCCCAAGAACTGCATATTTCAGTACCAGGGACTTCATTTGTCCACTCCTTATATTTGTGAGTAAATAACTTTAGCTCTAGAATTATCTCCTGCCCAGTTGGATTAAAATGAGGCTCTCTCAGAAAATGCTGATTCTGACCCTTGAGATATATCTGAGTATAGTTCTTTATTTTTTTTAATTAATTAATTTTTTTTTTAGATTTTCTTTATTTATTTGACAGAGAGAGAGAGCGTGCACACAGCAGGGGAAGTGGCAGGGAGAGGGAGAGGCAGGCTCCCCACTGAGCAGGGGGCCCAGTGCGGGGCTGGATCCCAGGACCCTGAGATCATAACCTGAGCCGAAGGCAGACGCTTAACTGACTGAGCCACCCAGGTGCCCCTGAGTATAGTTCTTTAAATGAACAGACTCCTGTTCTTTGCTCAGGGCCGGATAGAAACTCCAAAGACTAAGACTTTGGCAGTGGGATGGCCAGGAACCTATTTTTGTTTTCCCCTCACTTTAAACAAATAATAGTGGTCTTAAGTGCAGGAAGGTATTTAATACTTATGCATCTTGTGTCAGAAATTAGTGCTATTTTGAACATTGAAGGAAATAAGGGGGAAAGTATAAATGAATCGATTGCTTATATTCTATTTATATAGGTATTACCATATCACAGAGGGTGTTTTTGAAGAAAAATTTGCTTAAAAGTATACGTTTTGTCTAAGTTATTGACATCTATAGTTCTGGTTTTTTAAAAATGTTGTGATGCTAACTTCTCAGGAAACAAAGCTTGCTTTGAAATGAAAACTTTTCCCCCAGTGCAACACATTGGAAATAGGAAACTAAGTAGCTCTTGCTGTGTTGCCACTATACCCACATTAAATTTTTATTATTTATTATTACTTAGCAATTATAATCATGGCAAGTCATTTTTTGGACTGTGGTTTCTATTGTACTACATGGTAGATGAGGTGACTTTTTAAGGCCTTTCCAGATTTGGGATTTGGAGTTACTAATTGTTAGTTGGCTCTGTATGCATGATCAGCACTCACCTCAGAAACCAGTATCCCTTAGAGAGCTGAAACTTTGGTAATGTGCTGCCCAGCTGCCCTGGGCCTGACGTTACCCATGGTGAAAGTAAGAAACCTTCTCAAAGGGACAGGGACTCAAGCTCTTGCTCAGCTCAGTTGACCCTTGCTCTTTAGGTTAACAGGCTCTGTTGCTTGGAGTAATTGCAGGTTGTCCACTGAACCATTTCAAATAAAGAAGCATGTAGAAGGAATGACAGCATATTTTAACCTGAACTAAAATTGGCATATTTAAAAAGCCTTATTGAAATTGTTGATTTTTAATCTCATATAAACACTAATGAAACTGAGTGGCCCCAGTTTGTGAATGTGTGTTCTGAGAAGTTCAGTTGTAACCTGGTTCTTTGGAACATTTTCCATAGGAACAGTATTAAAAGGTAGATTAGTATGATGTAAGACAGACACCTATTTAGCTCATGATATTGCTGTAATTCTTTCTTTTTTTTTTTAAAGACTTTATTTGAGAGAGAGAGAGAGAGAATGAGCAGTGGGGAGGGGCAGAGGGAGAGAGAGATGCGGGGCTGATCCCAGGACTCCGAGATCATGACCTGAGCCCAAGGCAGATGCTTAACCAACTGAGCCACTCAGGCACCCCTATAATACTTTCTTTTTGATGACAAATAGTAGCTGATAGTACTGTAAGTTAGTCTTAGAGGCAAGAAATACATATATATGTTTGGTTTTTCTTAAATTTAGCTCATAAATATGTTTTTTTTTTTTTAAGATTTTATTTATTTATTTGACAGAGAGAGACACAGCGAAAGAGGGAACACAAGCAGAGGGAGTGGGAGAGGGAGAAGCAGGCTTCCCACAGAGCAGGGAGCCCAATGCCGGGCTCGATCCCAGGACCCTGGGATCATGACCTGAGCCAAAGGCAGACGCTTAACGACTGAGCCACTCAGGCGCCCCTAGATCATAAGTATCTTAAGTGAAATTCCTGACATGGGACAATACTATTGATTCAACACAATTAAAAAAAATTTCAATGCCACTGTTTACAAAGGTAAAAATTAAGTATTTGAACAGGTTTAGTGGGGTAGATAGGTAGGTGCCAGCAGGAATTCTGAGTGACTCTGGCTACTTTTACTGATCCCTTCACTTCTGTCTGCCTTTATATATGCAGGGATACATACATGTTCAAAAGAGTAAAAGACAAAAATAATCCAATTGAGCCTACTTTAGGAATTCACCTCCTTTTTACTGAGATCATCTCTCTCACCAGCTCACCGTCTCAGTTCCTACAGATAGGTAGTTCTTGCTCCCGGTATACAAGTGACATTACTCTTCCAGCATTATTCATGACCGCATCAAGAAATCCAATCATTTTTTAAAAGTTACTGTCCATGCTCGGGAGCATTTAAAACTTTGGACCACCTTCTCTTTGAAACACCTGGTTTCTGTGATGCTGGTTCTGTCACCCAGTTCTCCAATAGCAGTATAGCATCTGCATTTCTCCCTTGTTGATACTGACAATTGTTCACTTTCTGGCTTTCCTTTCATAGTATAAGCTCCATGAGGTCAGAGACTGTCTTGTCTTGTTCACTGCTCCGTAGCTAGTCCTAGGCCTAATTCTGTATAGGTAATGGATAAATATTTGTTAAATAAACGAATGATTTTTTTTCTGTTACCCCATGAGATGTCTCTTCAAGTTCTGGTGTTGGCCCTGTTCTGCTATTTCTTGCTTGTTTTTTTTTTTTTTTTCCATTGATACTGATGCCTTCAATTACTGTCTATACTGTGCTTCCAGTATCCATCATTTTCATTTTGACTACTATCCCTGCATTTCAGCCCCTCTTTTTTGTTCCAAGTTTAATATGAAAAAGTATTCACAATTTATTTCTAAAGTGGAAAAGTAGATTACCGAATGGCCAGTTAAGTAGTTAATTAGAAACAGCAGGGTCACAATTGATTATTTACCTTCTTCCTCTTGCTACTTGCTCAGGTCTGGTTGGTCTTTTATATAACTATACTAGGTCTCTTAAGTTTCCCCTGCCATCAGGTTATGTTCCTCCATTCTATCCTTAACAGTATGACCAAAGCAATCCGCTTAAATAAATGATCTGATCAGGTAATGGCTTTCTGTTACCCTATAGAATAAGACTTAGGAATTGGCCTTCTTATTTTTATTTATTGATTTGGTTCTGTGAGGTCAGTGAGCAGCTTGTAGCCCCAAAACGAAAAACTTTCCATATTTAGAACTACCAGAAATGGGACTAGCCTGTTTCTGTAGGTGTCAAGTTCCCTTTCACTGGTAGGGATTATGGAAGGATAGTAAGCAGTTCTCAGATGGGATAAGTTATTAGAGCTTTTTGAAGTTCTGCATACTCAGACCTTTGATTGTATCTTTCAAACTGCTTAGGTCTTCCACAGTCTGGCCCAGATAAGTTTTAATGATTAGGACCACATCTTAATCACCCCCCCCCCCCACTGCATCTTTTACAGAGTAGGTGCTAAGCCTACATTTATTCAGTGAATGAATAACTTCTGGGTATTTTCTTGGGTAGATGAGCTGAGATTCTTTGTCTCTACTTCAAAGTTAGTTTTTTGTTTTTTGTTTTTTTAATGTGAAATTATTAGATCTGGATTGAGAGTATTAGGATCAAGTCTTGGGCCTCTGCATGTGTGTTCTTGGTCAAATCATTTATCATCTCAGAACCTGAAATAAGGTTAGAATGACAGTTAATGTAAAGTAATTGTGAGGACTAAAAGTGTGTGAAAAATGTTTTATAATCTGAAAATGCTTTATAAATGATAGAAATTATTCAAAATTGATGGTTTTGAAATATATATACCAATATACATTGTTTAAAATATAGATATGTCACTAATATTACTCTCTTACTTTATAATTAGGCTCATTTTTTAGCCTAGCAAAGGAAATAAATACAGTTGCTTTCTCTTAAAAACCAACATACTTCCTCAACTATTCAAGGCAAAATTTCTTTCTTATATTGTTGAATTCTCAGTATATTGTCAAACTATCAGTGTCTGTGGATCTCTCTACTTAGGTTTTGTGCCAGGTTTGGACAAAGATTCAGAAATACCTCTGGCAAAATTAAATAACATTTTTTCCCCCAAATAGACACATTTGATAGAATTTTCCCAGTTTTAAGATTTGTCTTAAATCTTTGGTGCTTGGCTATGCTTTTGTTGTTATTTTTTGGTGGCAAAATCAATGAACTATTAGCAAAAAGATTTTAATCTAAACACCTTTTTTCTTAATTTTTTTTTTTTTGTAAGATTTTATTTATTTATTTGACAGAGACAGACACGGTGAGAGCAGGAACACAAGCAGGGGGAGTGGGAGAGGGAGAAGCAGGCTTCCCGCTGAGCAGGGAGCCTGATGTGGGGCTGGATCCCAGGACCCTGGGATCATGACCTGAGCCGAAGGCAGACACTTAACAACTGAGCCACCCAGGCGCCCCTTTTTTCTTAATTCTTAATGCAGTTCTCCATTAACATTTATGCTTTATGTATTTCACAGTTATAGTTTTATGTTATGTATAAGTGCCATAATTATACACTTTGTTGATAATTTCTTGTATTAACTTTTTTGATTGTATATATGATAGAATTAGATGCATCATTATTCCATGGTGCTTCAGGGAGCACTCTCTCTAAGAAGAGTGGATTTTTGAATCACAGCTTCGTTAATGAGGGAAAATTAGTTGTAAGAAAGGGCAAATTCCTGAGTCTGAGGAGGAAAAGAGATGTCTTACTGATCAGGGGTACCTTCACAAGTAAGATACATTAACAAATCAGCTGTTCATAAGATAGAGACACTGGAAAAGAAAGTTATTGGTGTTTGTAGTTTTCCATTAATAGAGTAAATCTCTGTTCTTTCTTCCCTTTTAACCAGGTCAGTATATATTTTGTGCCCTGTTCTTTTATCACAAAAGAGAAAAGAAATACTGCAGTGAATGAAGATTCCTCTGCATTTTAGCACTGCTTTTTCTACTGTAGTTGGCTTTTGAATGAGGATGACAATGGAAGAGATGAAGAATGAAGCTGAGACCACTTCCATGGTTTCTATGCCCCTCTATGCAGTCATGTATCCTGTGTTTAATGAGGTAAGTAGGTAAACATTTCTCGTATGATCTCTTCAATTCTTGATGCCTGCGTCATTTATTCATTTGTTTGTTCCTTCATATAACAAATACATAGATGAATTTCATCTGTGTGTTAGGCATTGTACCAGGTCTGGACATAAAACAGTAGGGAGGGGGAACCTGGATATATTGCTTCCCATCTGGAGGTTTCATTATAGGGGGAGAGACAGACATTGAATAAAAGAATGCAAGTAATAATATAAATGGAAAGTTGTGGTAAGTGCTATGAAGTCACGAAAAATTGTATGTTCAATAAAATAGCAGGTGGGATCTGCTTTAGGGTTCAGGACCAGCCTCATTCAAGATGAGACATAAATGCTAAGATCGAAAAGAGGTAAGTAAGGGTTTGACAGTTGAGTTCAGGATAAGCACATTTTAGGTAGCCAGAAGAGCAGGCACAAAAATATCCTGATGAATTCTAGTCAGTAGAGACAAAACATATTTTTACTGATAAATGGAAGCTACTATTGCTTTAGTATCTAGAGAAGATGTAGTTGCTTTTTTATTTGAGGAATTTTCTAGGACTTAATACATTTTCGGTTTTTCTTTTAATTTAGAGAATTAGAGCTGGAAATTCCTTAGAAATAATTTAATCATGCCCCTCCTTTTAATAGTGAATTGAGTTCCTAATATGTGAAATGGTGTTCATAAAATTACCTAGAACTAAAATCTAGGATTCCAAATTCAGTGGCTTCAGCCTTAGCCTTTCTGTATATTTAATTAGGGTCTTTCTGTTTTTGTTTTGCTAATTATAAAGCTGTCAACACCATTGACCTTATTGTTGCTGCTGTAACTTGGAAACCCTCACCATTTCCAATGACTGTTTATTTCTTTTTGTAAAGTATTTATATTAGAGTAAGATTCTGGATTACAAAACCCTTTCTCCCACATTATTAGGTTTAATAATAATGTATTTGATGCATTTGTGGTCTTAAGTCTTGGGGACAATAGAGAGTGATTCATCCTCTTCAACTTGGAAATCACAGACCTAGTTGCCATTTCAGACATACATTTTGAAATTCTAAATGCTATCTGTCAAATAGTGTTATTAGGTTTGGTGACCATAAAAGAAAAAAACAGTGGCTTGGATAAAAGTTATTTCTCTTGCATAAAAATTATAGCGGTAAGTGGTCCAGTGCTAGTGTTATTATGACTCGGTATCCTAGTGCTTACTTTGCGTTATCAAGGTCACCTCAGCATGTGGGGTAGCTGCTGAATCTCCATTCATCATGTCCTAAGTTGTTGTCTGGAAGGCACAAAAAAATGGAATAGAGTTGGGGGTGTTACTTCCAGCCAATTAAGCTTCCTTCAAGTAACGTTTTTGAAAGTCCTATACAAGACTTCCATTTACATCTCATTGGCAAGAACTTAGTCTTATGACTACACCTACCTGCAAAGGAGGTTGGGAAATTTAGAAGTTTTGTTACTAAAGAGGAAGCAATAGGAGGCATCTTTTGAAAAACCTGTCCCTCTTTATACTAATACTGTGGAAGCATTGGAGGCACTCTTTTAGGGCTGGTAATACCCATCTCTGGCAGGTATAGCCAACACCCCAGTAATTAGTTCCACCATTTTGTTCTAATACGTACCCATTCATTACAAGACTACAGTTACTGTTAGAAGCAAGTGCTTCAGTTCTGTTTAGTAAATATTTACTAAATGTCAGCCATTTATTTGCTGAGTAGTCTGCTAGGGTCCGAGGATGTGAAAAAGAAAAAGGCATTATACCTCTTCTTAAGAACCATAGGGAACTATTTTCTTAAACATCTTAAACAGATGTTTAAGCAAATACATTATTTAATTATCCTTGTACCAGGTATGAGGTAAGAAGACAGTCACTGAAACTATTAAGTAATGTATGTTGATGTTTAGTGTTTTAACTTCTCAGGTACTTCGAGAACCATTATGGCAGTTCTACCCAGAAGTGCTCCCTCTTCTTGGGTCTGTATAGCTAGCCACCCCTGTGGACTTTTGGGCCAAGTTGTATGGGGCATTTCTGTATCTAGTATTTTGAGTCTTTACTTGAAGGAAGGGCAATTTACATTGCAGAGCTGTTTGATCCTCTAGTTAGTGAAGAGGAGTGAGAGAAGTTTTTTTTCTAACAACTAGAGTGATCTTTTCCTACATAAGGAAAATGGATTTTATTTGAATCTTAGCTTTGGAAAATAGTTATATAGGATATGAGATTCTGATAAAATGAACTGTTGGGATTAATACTGAGATATCTTTTCTAATTTATTCATGTGTAAGAAAAATTAATTTGAAAGAAAAAAGGCTATGAATGGACTGGTAAATCTCTTCCAGAAATAAAGGCAATGATTCTTGCCAGATGACATCTAAAAAATATGTGGGTTAATGGGCCCGGAATTAGAACGTGTTGCCAAATGTTTCATAGTTGGTTCAAGAATTGCTAGAACTGAATTTGAAAATGAAATGGCTAGATGTAGCATACTGAGAGATACTGTGTCAAATTGTCAGGGTCTAGCTCTCAAATTTATGATCTAACATCATGGTATCAAGCTTTTTATAAAAATTATTTTTGTCATGTTACAAAAACAAGTGTTCAGAAATAACAGGCTTTTAGGAATAGTGGTAGTAGGTCTTTTTGATAGAGATATGAAATCTGGGGCTTGATTTAGGAATGGAATAAAATAATTGTGCCTTCAAATGTGAAGTGTGTGGTTGAGAAGAATAAAATACTAGCATTGTTGTCTGACATTCCAGTGTATTAATGTAACATCTAAAATAAGATACCTAGTCAGTTAAACATTAGTATTTAACTATAGTTCAAACATAGATTTTTCTACAGATCTACTAATGGGGAAGTTAGAATTTAGTTTGGCTCTGTTTTTCTGTGCTATACGGATTTAAAGATAAAATGATTGTCAAATTAATCTTACAGAAAGTAGTACCAGAGTAGGGATGAATGTTTAACTCTGGAGCTAAATGATACACTTAATTTTGTCCACAGTGTATTGGAAGAGTTAAAAAAAAAACTTACCCATTCTCACCTTACCATAACATTCATAGTAGTAACAATAGTAGTCTGGAAGTCTTGTAGAACAGATTTTTAGATAGTAGGGCATCCTTATATCTGGGAAATTTTAGTACTGTTACTCCAGCTCACAAAGCAAAGTTATTTATGGCATTCTGGGAGTTTGATGTTTGCTAAACTTAATGAAGCTATGCCAAGACAGCTGAGAAAGGAGTAGGCTTCTTATTTAATCAGCTGCTGCAGAGTTCAGAGTCCAAGTATATTGCATGTGTTGTAAATGTACTGTGAAATAGGTCTCCTGGTTACCTTATGAAATAGTGAGTTTATAGAAGTGTCATGACAAGTCTTAGGTCAGGTTCTCATGTACTGTATTACTTTCTACTGATCTTTGTGTATGGAGGAGAGAGGTGTAGTTCAATTCTTCATTCCAGGGAAAGATACATCATGAATCATCGTTTCCTGTGACTTTTTAGAGGAATTATTTTAAGGTGAAGTATAATTTCTGAAGAAATATGTATTGTGTTTTGAGATAGGAATAAACAGTTTCGCAAACAACTAAGAATTTTAGATCACCAAGGGTTTATATGCTTGTTTATAAATCACACAAAAATGGTACTTCTGAATAAGTAATTAATATTATATTCAGAAGCATCCAACACAGTTATTTCAGCCAACTCAGCAGAATATGCAACTCTTAATTTTTTCCAATAAGCAAATGAAATCTCTGAATACTTCTCCAACTTCACATACCTAACTATCCTTTTTTTTTAATTGAAAGAAAAAAATCAAACCCCAGAATTGGAGCATAGTAAACATACTTCTCCATAGTGAAGGCATGGGTTTTACCTGCAGTCCCTCCATCCAGAGGTGATCGTAGTTAATATCTTGCATAAGAATTACTGCTCTGCCCCTTACTCTAGGCTATGTAGTCTTATCTTTCTGACCTTGTTTATAAACTGATGATAAACAGTAATACACTTATTTCTCATAACTCTGTAAAATAAATGACAATATATTGTAGTACTGAGAATAGTACCAGGCATGTAGTTAAGTGTTAGAGCTGTTATTCAGAAGTCTTTGTGCAATTTTCTGGATAAAATTGTGAGCCTTCCCTAGAGTTTTACATTCTAGTAAGCAATTTTTAATGAAACATATTTGTGATAGGTGGCTCTGCTTACGTTTTTTGCTGGAAAACCTGGCAACCCCAGAAACGGATTATTTTAGAAACATTTACTATGTATAAAACACATGACTGCATCTCTCTTCTTTGTGGCAGCACAAAAGTTGATAGGTGGCCTCTTGAGTCTGTCTACTTATGTTCTAGCTTTTTTCTTTTTTTATCTGACTTGCCTCATTTTCATTTGAGTCATAAGAGATGTACCTTTTATTCTTGTGTCTTTTTTTTGTTAAGATTTATCTATTTATTTAAAAGAGAGTGGAAGAGAGTGCGCACATGAGCGGGGGAAGGTCAGAGAGAGAGGGACAAGTAGACTCCCTGCTCAGTGGGGAGCCCAGCTCTGCTAGGGGCTCCATCCCAGGACCCTGAGATCATGACCTGAGCCAAAATCAAGTTGGATGCTTAACCAGCTGAGCCACCCAGGCACCCCTTTTTCTTTTTTCTTGGCCATGTATGATTCCTTTTAAAGAATAGGATTAATAGTGTTTGTGGGGAGGGGAGAAGGTTGTTAGCATGGAGAAATCATGCCTGATTTTGAGGAAGCCAAATTAGTAGATAATTCAGAACCAACTAACCTAATTATTTTGACCTTAAAAAAAGAAAATACTTTCAAAAGATTTTATGCAAGACCTATAAAACTTGAGTAACCAAAGAGTTAAATGGATTTTTTTTTTTTTTTTAGTTATGGGTGTAAGAGACAGGCTTGATAACTAGAAAATAAAGTATAGGAATGAGCTGATACCTTTGGAGGGAGGGACCAGTGCAATAAGTGGAGGGACCAATGCAATATAAATGCACTCTCTATGGAATCACAATTATGTGTAAGCTTTTGAAATATTTTTATAAACATTCTAGAGAGTTAAATTTGACAAGTTGGTAGTTAATAGTGCTCTCAGAAGCTATCAAGAATAAATTACAGGAGGAGCTCACAAAACAGAGTAGGCAGAATGTGAGGTTGGGGTGAGAGCCCTGCTGTTAGGTCCACCCCAGCCTATTATTTCCTTCTAGCTGGGACTTCAGGAGGTACTTTCTTTACCTTTCTGGTGAAATGAGATTAGGTGCCCTGTTCTCTTGTGCTTATTCTCTTTTTGCCCTTTACTCTTTTACTGGTGACATGGAATTCCTAGATGGCTGAGGCCTGAGGAAAGCCTCTCCTTGTCCAGATATCCATTAATGCAAGGCGTAATCATATGTTCCCTCCTCCTCTGAATTCAGAATCAATTACTACTAAGAAATGATTGCATTGTCTCTTTAAAGATAACCTGGCCAACAACTGTTACCTCAAAAGCTGAAAAAAATTACTGGACTAATTAGTGGAAGTATTGGAAACAAAATGGAAATTCTTGTCTGTTCTAAACTTACATAAAAACTTTACTCCCACATGTGTTACCCCTGAAGAAACCCGTAAGTTTGCAAATGGCCCAGGAAGGTGATTTTATTTTATTTTTTAAAGATTTTATTTGACAGAGAGAGACACAGCGAGAGAGGGAACACAAGCAGGGGGAGTGGGAGAGGGAGAAGCAGGCTTCCCGCTGAGCAGGGAGCCCGATGCGGGGCTCGATCCCAGGACCCCGGGATCATGACCTGAGCCGAAGGCAGATGCTTAATAACTGAGCCACCCAGGTGCCCCACCAGGAAGGTGATTTTAAGAGTCTGTGTTCTTCAGGGACCACCAGTTCAGCTTTCACCTCCATAAAGACTTTTTTTTTTCCTACTTCAGCTGACAGTGATCCCATTAGTTTCCATGTAGCTGCTTACTTAAATTGATCTTTTGGGGTTCCAGGACTATAATCTATTTCTTTTATCTCTCACACTGACTTTCTTACACATGGGAGAAACTCAGGCATTTGTTAGTTCTTCAGTAGTTGAAGAGATTCAGTGAGAGAGTGGATGCCAGTGTGGGAAGGGTGAATTCAGGGAGGCAGGGTAGCATTAAGTGGCTTGTGCACAGGTTTTAGAGGCAGACAGATTTGTTATGAATCCTGCCTCTGTATGCACTAGCTCTTGAATATTGGATAAATTTATGCAAACTGAATTTCTGCCTCTGTAAAATAGAGATGATGATAGCTAGTTCCAGATTGTGAGGATGAGATACTCTCTATGAAAATACATAACAAAATTCATTATAGGTGATAAGTAAATGATAACTGTTATTAGGATACTGCCAGGACCTTATACTGTCATGAAAGGTAAGGTGACCGTGATTTTATCATCAAATCATCTATCACAAGTGAAAGATCTAAAGGGGAAGCACTTTTTATTAGGGAAGATAAAAACATATCTTGCTAAGTATTACAGGCTGCAAATTATAAGTAGATTGAAGAACAATTTAGATAAATTTATGGTTGAGAGATTAAGTTCAATTCAAAAAGTAGATAGGTGCCTGTATGCCTGGTACTTCCTGGGTAGTGGGGATATCATATGAGTAATGAAGCCTAGTGGGTTTACTGCAAGATATGTGGGTATATAATGTATCCCAAAATGACTCCCTGCAGAGTTCTGGTTGAGGTGCTTCACAGCTCACAGATTTGATTTAGTATATGCCTGACCTTTCCCTTTCTTTTCTAAGACACATATATGTAAACTTAATCTAGAAATCTGATGTCTATCTTGGCTAATTTTATTAGTTCTTCACAGACTATTCTGGGCCTCCTTTATTTGCCTTGACCCTTTCACACACCAGCCAGGGCAGTACAGAATGAGTTAATGATGCAGATACTTGAAGGTACACATCTGACTCAGACCTTTGACTTCTTGAAAGAGGTCGGAGTGTGGTGTAAGCCCAAATAAGGAAATGGTTCCTATCAGACTGGAAACATTCATCCTGTCTGTCTGCCTCTCCTTCCCTTACACAACAAGAACTTGAGATCAGAAGAGCTGTATTATTATTTTAATCTTAAATAGGATTCATTACAGTTAAATGAATTCCATGGAAGAAGAAAATTTTTCATTTGTGGCAGCATATTTTCATTAATTTTATAAACTTACATAGTTGCTTTTTTGCTGTATTTGCCTACCTTGTCCTCTTGTGTTTTCCCTTTTATCTACTAAGGCAATGTTAGATTTTACTGGATTTGTAGAAGCCAAGTAAAAAACTGAGTTAAATGGCCTTTTATTTATTTTTGGAGATAAAGTGTTTATCTTGGCACATTTTGTTGCTTTTTTGCTGAAGGTGCGTAACTTGTAGGGAGATAAGGTTCTTGGCATTTCTGTCTTGTTTAGAAAATAAATTGATTTAATAAAGTGTAGGCCATTCCTTAGATATGTGTATGTGTATATATGTTGTTTATAAAGGAAAACTTACATTTATTTCCTCGAGGGATTGAAAGGAATATTTATTGCAAGATATGATATGTTCCTAAGATTTTTGTAAAAAGATTCCACTTGCATAAGAATCCTATAAAAGTTAACATTGTTTTTGAACATTTAATATTGTCCCCAATAAAAAATATATACATTGAGCTTTATTGAGTTAATTGGCCCAATCTTTAGGGACTAAAAAAATAGGAATTTAACTGAAGGTAGTTGTTTTAAGCCTAGCAGTTAACTTTTCAACAAATGGCATTATTTTTATGGAATTTTTTTTTTTTTTTGCTCACTGAAAAATGAATTCTGTAAAGTGTATAATAAGGACATGTATCTTTCAAAATTGTAAACCTCACATATTTGATATTAAAATTAAAAGCTTTGGGATTGAACTTTTGGTTCAGTATTTTAGGTAACCTTTTTTTAATCTAGATAACATAGAGGACAGATGATCCACAGTCTTTATTTAGTATCAAACCTTTTGTCAGTGCTGTTTGCTAATTAATAAAATAGACTAATCTCAACTTAATCCCTGGCTGAGGGATTGTAAAATAATTAAAAAGGAGTAAGGTAATAAATACAAAAAATCTTAAATAATAAATGTTTTCTTGGTGTTGGTCATTTTCTATTCAGTGCACACCACATTTGCCATATACTTGCAACAGAGCATTGAGAGTTGATCTCGAACCTTATTTTCAGTAATTGAAGTAAATATGTTTATTCTTTCTATAGGGACTTGATATTATTTTGCATTCTGTGCTTATCTTAAATCCACTTTTAAGGTAGAGTGTGTTTTGTTTTTAAAACTAAAAAGAATGAAGAACTCATACATCCTTTAATTTCTTATGGTTTCTAATGAAAATTTTAGATGACCTGTGTATTTCAAGAATTAAGGTAATTTAGAATAAATAGCAAGTGTATCTGAAGAGCTTTCCTGAACTTGTTCCCATCTTGTGTTTATTCCCATCTTGACCAGTAGTGATGAGGCTAAAAATCTGAAGCCAGGTTACTATCCCTTGTTTTAGAAAGATGTATTTAACTATCTAAGTACAAAAGTTTACCCTCATTCTACACATACTGGATTTGTTTCCTAAAGGTCACAGTCATATTTGTTGATCAAATGATGGATTTATCAGTGTTATTACTGTAGAATGGAATATCAGAAATGTGCTTTTTCTGAGGAAATTGATATTAATAGTGATTTAAAATTTATATTGCAGCTAGAACGAGTAAACCTGTCAGCAGCTCAGACACTGAGAGCAGCTTTCATTAAGGTGAGGTGCAAATAATTTGTTATGATGCTTAAAATGTATGTTGTATGTAAATCTGAATACCATGTGATAATTGCCACTTTATTTCCTTTTAGTGAAAACCTCTTCAGCTGTCTCACGTCTGTTTTAGTGTACTCTGTAAAGCTTAAAACATTTCCCAAAAGTGAATTGAAACAAATGCTGTTTCCTTAGCAATCATCTTTTTGTCATACTTTGTTTTGGAAACTGACTTCTTTGGAGTCTTTTCTCTTTAGCTTTAGAGTATATTTTTTAATTTCTTTTTCTGTTATTTGACTTGATAAAAATTTTTGTAAAGTTATAACTCAAAAAGATGTTCTTCATATTGCTTAATTATAGAACATAAGTATAAAACAGTATTTTTGATGGGAAAACAAGACCTGTGTGTGGGTCAGATTAAGGGTACCTTACAAACATACATCTAAGTCACTCTGTCAGAGTGAACTTTTTTGTTGTCTCTAGACCTGCACTGTTTGATAAATACTAGCCACATGTTGCTAGTTCAAATTGAGTTGTACTCCAAGTGTAAAATACACACCAGATTTTGAATACTTAGTATAAGAAAAAGAATGTAAAATAACTCAGTAATAAGTATTTTATATTAATTATATGTTGAAATGATAATATTTTGGATGTACTTTTAAAATGATTTCACTTATTTCTTATTTTGTAACATGGCCACTAGAAAATTTAAAATTACAATGAATGATATTTGTTGCTTACGTTATATTTCTATTAGACAGTCCTATTCTATATATTAGGTGCATTCTTTCATGTAAAACTTTATCCATCCCCCTTCCTTTCCCAGTACATATCAGGGTACCCAAAACTTCAATTTTATTTACTTATTGTGTGTTTGTTCCCATTAATATCTAAAATAACTTCTATTTCAGGTATTTTAATGTTTAAATCTAGAATAAATTTATAGTTAAATTTTATTGGATTAGAACTATAAATCCATCAAGCTTGAGTTCTTTTTATGGCAAAGATTGTTTATTGATACTACTCTTAACTGCTAGGATAGATACTGTCACTAGACATCTCTCTTCACCACAAGAATTTACATTGTATATATTATATTAGAGCTATTTTGATGTTATTAATACTCTAAAATGCAGTGCTTGTGTATTCATACATAGTAGCTTAATTAAAATATGTTCTGACAAATCAGTGGGTTAATGAAGAGAAGGAATGAAGCAATATCATCAATTTTTTTTTTTTTTTTCTTTTTTCTTTGAGCTTCAGTGTGGCTCTGGAATGGCATATTTGGTTATTAGGGAGGCATGATGGAAACTGTTTTAAACTAACTTGCTATTTTCTTTGTGGCCAAAGAAAGGAAGGAAAGGCGACCTATTGCACAATATAGTATTGATAAGGAAAAGTCAGTTTTTTAGCTTTTCTGATAGCAAGAACAGAGAGAAATTTCTCCTGTGGATCATCATAAGGAGGACTCTGTCTGAAGTAGTAGATGATATCTTCAATGTCATTTCTAAAAGAGATAAAATAACAAATTTCATTAAGCTTTTTCTTACAAATATCCTTACATATAATCTGATGTTTTAACACTAAAGTACATTTTAAAAGCAAATAGTATGTTTAAAGTATGTGCTTTGATAGATCTGGTTTAACATATGGATAAATTTTATTATCCATGGCACTGATTGTTAATTGCGCAAAGTGGAAGTTATTTTGAGAGGAAAATAAATTAGTCAGTTTTGCATTGATTGATTTTTATTATCATATTTAATTTGTTAAATTTCAAATGGAATTAAAAGGGTATGCATTAAGAAGATGAAGATTTTTGTGTTTTTAAAACAACAACTTATTTGAAAAATTTAAGAGTCTCACCCAGGGGCGCCTGGGTGGCCCAGTCGGTTAAGCATCTGCCTTTGGCTCAGGTCATGATCCCGGGGTCCTGGGATCAAGCCTTGCATGGGGCTCCCTGCTCAGCGGGGAGTCTTCTTCTCCCTCTCCCTCTGCTTCTCCCCCCCTCCCCGTACTTTCTCTCGTTCTCAAAAAATAAAAAAATAAGTGCCTCACCCACCCATATATCCCTATTAATATTCCCAAAATATATGTCCATATTTCCAGTTATTTGACCACAAGTGTCATTTATCAAGGTTTGATATTTTTATTATCACGAGAAAAGGGATTAAAATTGTTTTTCCCAAGATAAAATACTAATGAATATTATCTTTTAAGATGTCTATTCTCTTTGATTCTTTTCCCCTGTGGAAAGTTCTGATAGGTTGTGCTGTTGAGAATCACTGAATCATGAGAGTGGATGTTACTGCCTTTGGGGATAGTTTTCTTTCACAGTGGGATTCTTCATAAAAATTGGATCCCCACAGAATTCAAGGTTGTAATTCTGGGAGAAAACCTGAAGGTATAGGTAGTTAAAAGTCTCCAATTTAAGCACAGATCTATTTATTTTGTCAGTCAGAGACATTGCGTAAATTTCAGGCTTTTAAAATGAAAAGTAAGTAGCTTAAGGATTTCAGCCAGAAGATACTAAGACGATTGTTCCTGAGCTAGGTACTGAGGCACCCTGGGGCCCCACAGCAAACTCAGAAGAGTGCTATGAGTTATTTTAAAACTTTAAAGGAACACAGTGATACTAAACATCTGACACTGTGTGAACTATGCTAGCTTGAGGTAGTTTGCAATTTCAACATACTAGATCGGGCTACATTCCTTGCAGTGATGTCATATTTTTGTAAAGTTGGAATTTTGGCCATTTCTGTGATAAAAAGTAAGTACCACAAGAAAATCAGTGTCCCAATAGGAAATGAGGATTGTAGGATCCAGTCTAATTCCAACATTTGAGAAATTGTGTAGTGCCCAACAGGTGAATGCATCTCATTAATAAGTAATCATGGTTATTTAAGAATGAAATAAAATGTTTTTCTTTCAATTTGTGTATTTTTAGAACCTGCTAGGTTCTTAAGAGTTAGGACACGAGTACTTACGAGGTTATTTGAACCTAACTACTACATAGCCACTATTTTCTTAGCCCTAAGAACACTTGTGAACTGAGAAAGTTAGAGACCTCTGTAAGATTTCTAGAATGCTCTGGTTTTGGCAGTTTGGGGCTCCACACAACTTGGTGTTGAAAACTTTATTCTCAGGCTTTCAGCATTTAATGACTTTCGCAGTTTATTATAACTTAATCAGAGAGAGATTATTGTTCTGCTGGCATATTCTGTAAGCACATGGAGAGTACTCCCCTGCCTCGTAAGATGATGCATTATATAGGTAATTTAATGCTACTTAGAGAAAGAAGATAAACCATTTTATCAAATGCTGACTTATCTAAATAGTGTATATAGTTTTGTGGCAGGTCACCAAATTAATAATGTTGACACCATCTTAGCCCATGTTTGTACAACTTTTCCTTTAAAGGTAACCCTTGTTTTTTAAAAATAGATTCTATCTTAAATATATTCATGGAAGGAAAAATCAAAACAGGTTATAAAGGAAATGGAATTCAGTAGGATACACTTTATTGTTATTAATCATCTATCAAAATGATTTCCTTGAATAGCATATGACAGCAGTTAAAATGATCCCAGGATTGAGATAAACGTGAATATTTTCTTTTCCCATTCCATTCCAAAACCTTTCAGTTTCTGATACTTGAAGCCTAATGAGAAACAAGATACTTTAATGGACAGAGCAGTAGGAACAGGAAGAAACTGGATCTGCAGTGATACCAGAATGGAATTGAAAAGGCAGAGGTTAAATGTGCTTGACACATATGGAAGCAAATAGATTGCTGTCTGATTAGGATCATAAATTGTGTTTCTATTTGCTGTTTAATATTGGGCAAAAAAGATAGGAAATCATCAGCATAATGATTAAAATTGGCAGGCATCCTAAAAGAAACAAACTTAGAGTGTCAATACAAAATTTTTAAAAATAATAAAATGGGACAGAATTACTGGGGAAAACCCAAATCTGAAAATTTAACTATGATAAACTCATAACTTTCTGTGTTCAGTCTTTTTTTTTTTTTAAAGATTTTTTTTTTTTTAATTTTATTTATTTGACATAGAGACAGAGAGAGAGGGAACACAAGCAGGGGGAGTAAGAGAGGGAGAAGCAGGCTTCCAGCTGAGCAGGGAGCCCGATGCGGGGCTTGATCCCAGGACGCTGGGATCATGACCTGAGCTGAAGGCAGACGCTTAACCGTCTGAGCCACCCAGTTGCCCTTCTGTGTTCAGTCTTGAGATGGCTAGAAGATTTTAGTGTCCTAGTGAGTGTAAGTAACGTAGAAGTAATGCAAACTCATCAGTGAAACAAGCTCAGGAGGTAGCAAAAGGATTAAATGATGTTCTGTAAATTATTCTTGCTACAAATATTCTTGCTACAAAAGGAAATATTCTTGCTACAGAAATAAAATAGGAAATGAAAATTATTACATGGAAAAGTAAAGGATTATATAGCTTAAATAAAACCTGCAAAAGAAATCCTGTCTTTTTGTTTCATTTTTGTTTTTCTTGACATTCTGTTCATTTAAAATAATCTGCAAAGTACTGGTAAGATGAGTTACAGCTTGATCCTCAAGTTGAAATATTAGCTAATGAAAAAAAGCTAAAAGTCCTTAGTATATTTAAACTACTGAACAGAGTAATTGATGGATTACCAAAATATATAAAAATCTTTATTTCTATTTTTGTTACTGGTTTGATTGCAAGTGAATGTAGAGGAGAAATAGGAAATGTTAAGTACTTTATGTTCAAATGGCAAATGGGACCATGGCTGTAATAAGTCACCGATGCATAAGCTCTGACAAAACATAAGTGAATGCTATCACCACACCTACTTTACAAAGATTTCTGCTGTCATAAGTTGATTCCTCTAAGAGGTTCCCAGCAGGTTCTAAACAATTAAGTTTTGACTTTAAAATGCTGATTAAGCTTCTGTATTTTAAAAATAGCTTTCTCTTTTTTATAGGCTGAAAAAGAAAATCCAGGACTTACACAAGACATCATTATGAAAATTTTAGAGAAAAAAAGTGTAGAAGTTAACTTCACAGAGTCCCTTCTTCGAATGGCAGCTGATGATGTAGAAGGTAGTCAGAGTCTTATATAATTTTCTTACAGTTGTTGAAAAGCACTTCCTCCAAGTCTTTATTTGACAGATGGGTCTTCTGCCCCTCCCCTTTCTTACTGTTATTGTTATTATTGTGATGATAATGGGGCAGACATCTATATAAATTATTGTGTGTTTTTAAGTGAGATTTCAAGAATGTGCTGAAGATATTAGTAGGTTGTTTGGGTTTTGATATCATGAACTCATTACATATTCAATATAGAGGTTGGCTATTAAGCTCTTCTTCCCCCTTGACAGATATATATTGTCATTATATTTGTTATGAATGTCATTACCTTAAGGTTTCCTTATGAAATATAGCTTCAGAGGCCTGGTAAATTTGATTGAGCCTGTCTTTTATTTATTTGTTTGTTTGTTTAAGATTTCACTGAATTTCCATTTATCCCAAATTGAAAATGTTTAGTCTTTCATCTTTTGATCCTTTACTTGGGAAGAGCCATAATATTATTTCTGAACTAAGTTGAACTTTAATGAATTCTGCCTTGCAACCTTGTCTTTCCTTTCCTTTCCCTTTCTCTTTTTCCTCCACCTCTTTAACCAACATTTGGAATTCGTAGACTTGAATTTGACAGAGTTGCATGATGGTTTTTTTTATGTATTTATTTTATCAGAGTATATGATTGAACGACCAGAGCCAGAATTCCAGGACCTAAATGAAAAGGCACGAGCACTTAAGCAAATTCTCAGTAAGATCCCAGATGAGATCAATGACAGAGTGAGGTTTCTGCAGACAATCAAGTAAGCAACTTTTGGCTTTGGTTCTTCTTTTCTTGAAAGTACTTCAAAGGAACCACTCATTCTAGGTGTTTTATTTTGGTACGACATTAATATTAAATGGAAATTTTAATTTGAAATCAGACTTGAAATTTTTAAATGCTGCATTTTGATTATTAACTCCTAAGCTGTGGTATTTGGCTTTAGAGTATGATAAAATTTTTTAGAATGTTCATATAAAAACAGTGAATGAAATGTACATAAGTTGGAATGTAGTTAGAACTACAAAAAATAATGCAAAAATGTAAATGTCGGATTAAAGTAAATAGGGAAGTTGGATAAATTATAGTATTGGTAACAAAGGATACCAGTATTGTTTTTGTTGCAGAAATGGCATAAGTTATTAGAATAAGTAATTTACTCTTAGGCTTGAATAGCATTTTTAAATATTGGCCAAATTGTAAACCTCCAAATCCTTACCTTTGGGATACAGGTTAAATAAGACCGAGATTACGCATGGGGCCAGAAGGCTGACTGGTGAGCAGCAGCAAGATGGGTCATCCTTGAGCAGTGGCTCTCAAACCAGGGGCACTCTCCTCAGGGATTAAGAGGGTGGGAGAATCAGGGGAAAATCCAAACATAATTTCTGGATGAGTAAACAGTCTCAATTTTCTTCAGCCCCACTGGATATACTATGAAGAAAATTGGGAATAATTAGAGCTGCACTATCAATGCAACCTTTTGGTGAAACCACAAGTAAAAATTGCTGAAAAGGAAAGATTTAGCACAGGTTTTGTTGTTGTTTTCTGAAAGAGGCCGCATCATCATACTTCGTATCTTGAAAGAATGGAAAGAGGTTCGCTTGTAGTAAATATTAACATTCATCTCTTGGAAACAGTATTTTTTGTAATTCCCATTGCAAAATGTTATTTTAGCTAGTTTGGGCACCTATTTTGAGTGGTATAGGGGGCAGAGTATCCCATTTTAGAAAGTACTGGTTTATGATGGGTACGCAACCCAGCTATTAAGGAGTCTCTTTTAGGTCTTCTAATTGAGAACCTGAAAATACGAAAAAGATTTTTCATTGCCTAGCTAAAATTCATGTCACAGGGAACAAATCCTGAGGTAAATATTTTACCTTTATAGGAAAGCCTCAACTTCCTTTAACTATTTTTAATGTGTGAAAAAGGAAGATAGTCAACTGTTTTAATAGTTTTTTATTTTTAGTCTAATATAAAGTAAACTTGTTTAGCTCATAAAAGGATAAATTGCCAGTTACGTGAAGCACAGTTGTTTAAGCAACTTATTTTTAGAATTTTCAAATACTTTAATAAAATTTTAATTTGTTTTGATGATCATATATTTGTTTATGATCTGTGGGGCATTTCTATGAAGATCTGACATTTTAAAAATAATATTTTCAGCAAATTTTGCCTCGGGTCATTGAAGGAGAGGTTTATTGAATCAGTGCCATCTTAATAATAGTAGTCACTTATTAGAATTACATTCTCAGTGCTCTTTTAAGCATTTTACATATATTAACTTATTATAACACTGCTATAACAGGTGAAGAAATTAAGTAACTTTTCCAAGGTCACAGAGCTGGTAAACTGATAGATCTGGGTTCGAACCCAGGCAGATGCACTCCATTGTCTTCTCTGCTGCTTCCCAATCTGAGATGAATAATGCTGGTCTAACTTGGTAATTGAAAAAAGTTTTAGCTATCTGGAAGAGGTGTGATAAAGGATATCTTAATATAGAATGCCAGTAGGTAAGAGAGAGAAGAATGTAGTGGTTGAAGCTGGGGTAGGTGTGGTAGGCCCAGAGCCCTCATCCTGCTACTTTGACACCATCTTACCCCTTTGAGGGAGTCCCCAAGGCATCTCTGCTAAACCCATTGTGGCTTTAAGAGAGATATATTTGAAAAACACTGTATAAACAGCCACATTTTAATCATAAGGAAGTTGAGGTCAGGAGCCTAAGAGTCTTATCCATAGTCATTGACAGAGGCTGAATTAAGGGCTTTTCTCTCATTTATGGGGCAGTAGTAATATTTCAGTTCTGTTTTCTGGAGTGTACTCCGCACAACTGAATTAAGAGTATTGGCATTTAAAATTTATTTCTTAACCATTTTAGGAGGTATAATTGGCCCTGGAAAGTTTGTTGATAATATATATGAGACCATGTATAAATTAACATAGATAGGTAAGGTGTGATTATTTGTATCACAGATATATACTGACACATTTTGATACATACTGTCTCCATGGTTAGTTGTTTAACAAATTAGTGGATAAAATTGCACCAAAATAAAAAATGGCTTATCCTTCAGGCACAACGTACTGTGCAGTTACTGTTTTTTCTTTAAAATATTTTACTTTTTCATACTTAAGGTAATTATCTTCTTCATTTATTTTAGCAGTATTTTCAAGAAACATGTATAAGATACTATCCAAGTACTATATGTGATTTCATAGGTTATATTAAGTAGAAGGAAGATTCCCATCAGCTAACAAATATCCAGGTATTTGTGTGTATGTTAGCAGACCTAGGTTTGAATTTCCATTTCCACATTTAGCTGTGTGACCTTGGATAAGTTGCTTAGCTTCTGTTTTTCTAGTTTCTGCCTATAAAGATGAGGGTAACAGTTTTAAGAATTGAGAGAAAGGACATACACAAACATACATAAAGTGGCTCACACAGAACCCAGTATGTGCTCACAGCACATACTAGCTTTGTGAAATAAGGGTTTTTTTCCCCCACTTTTCTCTGTGGGGTTGATTAGGAAAAATGATCCAGCAAATAAATATCTTAAAAGTTCTTTTGAGGGGCGCCTGGGTGGCTCAGTCGTTAAGCGGCTGCCTTCGGCTCAGGTCATGATCTCAGGGTCCTGGGATCGAGCCCCACATCGGGCTCCCTGCTCCGCAGGAAGCCTGCTTCTCCCTCTCCCGCTCGCCCTGCTTGTGTTCCCTCTCTAGCTGTCTCTGTCAAATAAATAAATAAAATCTTTAAAAAAAAAAAAGTTCTTTTGATTAATGAATGTTTCTGTTTGACTACATTTAAGCTTATGCAAATATTTAATAAATTTAATTGCATAGGGTTTTTTTTAGGTCTGATGCATTCTAATGGATGACTAGTAGAGACTTGTGACTTAATAAACCAGAAAGCCGTGCATTTATCTATTTACTATGTATTTGCATATTCATGCGCTAAAATTCACCAGAGTTTGGTTTTCCTGATGGCTGCAGAGTAGCTTTTCCAGAGATGTCCAGTCTAGACCTAACTAAACACACAGCATAGGAATTTTCTTCCTTTAGAATGTTCACATAAATATGTTATATAAATTTGAGTTACATGATTAGAAAGTCTACTATTGCAATTTTTTTTTAAGATGTATGTTTATAGTTCCTCTGATGCCTGTCGTCTTCTCTTTTGAGTGTATGTTTCCCCAAAGTTGCCTCACTAAAAGCTGCAAACTGCGAAAATTCTGTCCTACTATATGTCCCTTGTCAGAGAATCACTTAATTCCAGACTGTTTGTAATTACACTGTAGTTATTTTCTTTAATTCTTGATCTGTTTAATTGTCTGAAGTATTTTTTAGTGCTGATTATTTTCTCTTGTAGGAAACAAACCCTTAGTTACTAATATAATTTAGCTTCCCTGGTGCAAACCCTAGCACCTTAAATGAAAATACCGTTCTGTGTACATACAGATGATGTAATATTTGATATAAATTGCCACAGATTGTTTTTAGAGAAGGCCAGGCCTGGGGATAAACAGCCTGGGTCATTCTGTAGAGTTCTTTATAAAGTTCTGTGGCTAGTGATAGATCAAACCTTAGTTCTAGGCTCTAGGTTTCCAAACACGGGTTTCCACATTTGGTTCATCAGCAGAATCACCTGGGGGGCTTATTTTTTAAGTTTTCTTTTAAAGTACAGATTCCCAATACTCATTAGTAAGTCTGTGGTACCTTTCAGAAAACCCTTTTTTTTTTCCTTACAGGTGAGTGAGAACTCACTGCTCGTTTGACCTGTGGAATCTAGCCATTATCATTGTATATGGAGCATATGTTCATCTTGTCGATTAGCCCTGAAAGCACATTTTTATAATTCCCCCTTTTAAAGCAGAATATTAAAGTATTCTACAAAGTAGTTGTGTATAAACACCTCCGTGTTTGATCACTGTAGTTTGCTTCATTATGTTCTGCTTTAAATGGGCTCATTGTGGGTTTGAAGTAACTTCCAAATATTTGTTGAAATTGTAATTTTTCTCATGTCATGGTCATACGACATTTTATTAAGCAGTGGTTTACGCACATCACAGCAATACAGGAGTCAACTTACTTGAAACCATAAATGAAAGGAACAGTTATGTAAGTTAAAACTGCTGTTCCTAAACTAGAGGCAAAAAGAGAAAAAAAAAAAATGAGTGGACAGATACCATTTCCATGTAACATTCATTGTCCTATTTGAATCTAATATTTTAATGTTCAGCCCGATACCAGTGTTTGACATACAGGAGGTAATAAGTAATTATTTATTAAAGTATTTAATACAAATATCACTACTATTTCGAATAGGCTAACGTACTTTTTTTGTACCCAAATACTGTATACTTGTAATTCTTAGACATCCTACATGCTTATTTACTAGAAAAATGCTGTGAAACACACACATATAATCTGGATACAGAGCTTTTTGTGTTTTTTTTCTTTAGTAAAGCTGAAATGTTTTAGGTATGAAATAGCTGAAATCTGACATTTGTGATTAAAAAGTAATGAAAGATGTTTGGGATGGTTTAGATTTATGTCCTAATAATTCATATCTTCACACTTGCATTGCATTTGCACAGCAGAAGTTTAAGTTCAGTTTGGCAAAAAAAAAATTGTTATGCAGTTAGAAGATGAAAGTTGAAAAAAGCATAGATAGAAAAGACAAGAAAAGTTTAGGAAAAAAAATGGTTAATGGATAGGAAGAACAGTCAACTCATGAGAACTATTGATTTCTTCTCTTTATCTGCTTAAAAGGGGAGGAAGGTGTTGATGCATATATAGTCCAAGGATAATTGCTGAAAGGTTAAGGTAGAAAAATATTCTGATACTGTCTCTCTCAGGAATTTAAATATATTTTCCAAAGGAAATAATGATAGCAAAGTTTTTGGAAGAGGGGTATAGGCAGTTGTTAGAAGGTAGATGTGTCTTAGAAGAGCTATGTAGGTATGTAACGAAGTGCTGATAAATACAGAAGTGTGGTACACGTAATAGTAAAATTTTATGTAATTGTTCATGACATAGCAAACGTAGAGAATATACTAGCTTGAATTCATCAAAGAAAGGAAAAATCATAACTGGAAAAGATGAGAAGCAGAGGTAATTCTTATAATGCATTTGAGTAAGTAGTGCTGAATGAAATGTTACTGATTTGGGAAGATTGAAATTAGTTATAGAACGTTTGGTCAGCAGTGCAAGAGAAGTCAGGATCATAAAAGGGTACATGTAGGCTAAAATCCATCCAACCAACAAGTCATGTTTGGGCTTGATGCAGTGTTAATGTGGTAATTACAGTGTGATTAGTAATCCTTAAAAAAATATATCTATCTATCTATATATATTTATATATATGTATATCTATAGATATATATACCCATATCTATCTATATATATATAAAATAACACACCCCTCTTCCAAATATAACTGATTTTAAGATTCTTTTTTCCTTATCCAACAGGGATATAGCTAGTGCAATAAAAGAACTTCTTGATACAGTGAATAATGTCTTCAAGAAGTATCAATACCAGAACCGCAGGGTAAGTTTAGTAGAAGCCTTATATAAGCTGCCACCCTAGATGTTGATTTACACTTAGTTGTTTTATTGAATTAAATACTAAGATGGTTTGATTATTGAAAATAGTTTTGTATCATTAACCACTGGTTTTGTCCTTGAATTAAAATATGTTTAAGTAAATACTTCTAAAAATTCCAATTTGTAATATATGAAGTCCATCCTATATTCTATATAATCTCTTGTCTTTGATTTTGGCTTTTCTGTTATTTCTCTTTTCTTATTTAATATTTTTTTCTTACTCTGTTTGATGTCTGTAGGCACTTGAACACCAAAAGAAAGAATTTGTAAAGTACTCCAAAAGCTTCAGTGATACTCTGAAAACCTATTTTAAAGATGGCAAGTAAGTAGTGTCATTTATTATCCTTTTTAAAAAAAATTAAATTATGTGGTTTTATATAATACTAAAACCATATAAATTAAGCCCTTTTACTATATTGTTCATACTCAAGTTAGCTAGTAACTAAGATAGACTGTTGGTTGATAATCTAGCCATAACTAGTCTAGAGCAGAAGTTGGCAGACTTTTTCTGAAATAGGCCTCATGGCAAATATTTCGGGTCCACCTATAGGTGGGCTTGTCAGAACTACCTACTTCACCTCTGCTGTGGTGTTGTGGTGCAAAAGCAGTCTTAGTATGGAAACAAGTGACATTATGGCCGTGTTCTAATAAAACTTGATTTATAGACACTGACATTTGAATTTTATTTTATTTTCACCTGTTACATAATACTCCTTTTTTTTGGTCATTTAAAAATATAAAAGTATTCTTAGCCTGCAGGCTGTACAGAAACATGGGAAGTGAGATTTGGCTTACTGGCCTACTTCACCAGCCCCTGAAGCTGTGATTCTCAAACTTTAGGAGCATCAGAATCACCTGGAGGGCTTATTAAAGAACAAAATATACATTTTATACATGTACATGTAATTGCTTTTGGAGTTCCCCTCCCTCCATTCTATAGGTCTAGGGTGGACCCAAGAATTTGCATTTCTCTTTTTTTTAATTTGAAAGAGGGAGAGAGAACATGTGAACTGGGGGAGGGGCAGAGGGAAGGAATCTCACGCAAACTGCCTGTGGAACCCATTTCAGGGCTGGATCTCATGACCCTGAGATCATGACCTGAGCCAAAATCAAGAGTCAGGATACTCAACCAACAGAGCCACCCAGGTGCCCAAAGAATTTGCATTTCTAAGAAGTTTTCAGATAATACTGATACTGCCAGGTCTGTTGAGAACTGAAAGTTAAAGCAATGGTTCTCAATCCCATTTGCATATCAGAATCACTTTGGTTCAGTTTTTTAAAATTCCAGTGCTTTGGTCCCAACTTCAGGGGTTCTGATTCAGGTAGCTTGGAGTGGGACCAGGATTTAATAAGTCTTTTATAAAAAGTGTTCCAGGTGATTTAGAAGTACTACAAAGGTTGTGACCCACTCTGGAAGGAGGGAGGCTTTCACTGTTGTTCTGTAAGATAAATAGTATACTAAAAAGGTAAATTGGATGTTGTTTTTAAGATTAGGCATACAGTTATCTATAGAACACTCCAGAAAACCAAAAAATTTATGTGTTTTTACATATACATTTTACACATGTACATATACTGTATAAGCTGATGGAGGGGCCGTGTCTTCTGTAGCATTGTACCTTATAGAGAGCTCTTTGTATCTCAAGTAGAATACTAGAAATTTTGTGAACAAGACCATTTTCTGACAGTGCTTAGGGTCAGAAAAACAATCTAAATAGTGATTATTTCATGTATCATTGGCGGGGACCTCTAACATTTATCCTACCATTGAAGTTTAAAGATCCCTATATCCATGTCAAACATTACAATATTATTATAATATAAAAATACATTAGAATGGGCTGTTAATTTTCATTTATTTTTAACAGTTCAAATAGGTTGAAATCTTTACATTTCTTTACATTTATATTATGAATTAAAGATATGAGGTACATTTTATTAATGGTTTTTGTTACTGTTCAGATAGTCTAGGGGAAATGCTCCTTGATGACTTAGTTTAATAAGCTTGCAGGTGTGTTCTGAAAATAAACTTATATCTGTTTTTTCTTGGTCTCCACTGCTAAGCCAAAATAACCAAAACACATCAAAAGAATAATTTACATGATGGGATCATTATTTCTGATTCTAATTAAGAACTATCATGAAATAAGCACATAGAAAGGTAGAAATTCCTTTAGAGCCTAATTTTCATTAATCTGAAGTTATGTACGCTTCATATGGATTACTGAGGCTCCCTGCTACTTTTTCTTCATTCAGTAGCTTCTTTATAACTATTTGTATATGAATAATGTGCCATTATTTTTGGTTTTAGTTTTGTATCTGTTTTCTTGAAACTGAAAACTGTTAATAGAGCCTGTTCTTTGAGCCATCTTCCAGTAAGGGTATGAATTTGCACTGATGCAACTAATTATTTCTGGTCCCTCTTTTTTGAGAAATGTCTAGGATGAAGATAAAAGTTTTAGCTATGATATTGAGAAACTGATAAGACCACACAGTGGGACTAGGGCATCAGTTCTTTGTTCCAGTCACATGAAGATGGGCTGATAAGGAGAAATGTGTGCAGCACAAAGTAATTTTTAAGAATTTTTATATATTGTCAGCTCTTAAATATTGAAACCACATGATTATTTTGTTTTAATAGATTTATTCTAAAAGTAGTTTAGAATTCTCATAGTTTTTGTTTTGTTTTTTGTTTGTTTTTGAAAGAAGGTAAGAGAGATATGTCCATTGAAGTAGAGATTTTGAGGCTGAATATAATACTGGCACAGATATTATTTTGGTAACTTATATGAAACCAGAGCTGGAGACTACATTTGAATCCTTTTTGGCCAGTTACTTGTTCAACCTCAGGAAATCCGGTTGTTGAGGCGCCACCTATCATTAGCAGCCCACCAACACCTTATTGCCAGCCGGAACCACTAGGGGGCAGTAATTCCTAGATAGTTTCAAATGATGCAGGACCATTCAATTCCAAGCTGGTGTAAAACATGATCCTTAGTACTAACTTGCCTCTTTTTTTTTTTCCCTAAATTGATTTCATTGCTACTGTTAGTGGATGGCATCAAGTATAAATATTTTTAAAGGATGAATTTTTTTTTTGATAAAATTAATGCCTTTTTTTTTTTTTTTAACAGGGCAATAAATGTGTTCATAAGTGCCAACCGACTAATTCATCAAACCAACTTGATACTTCAGACCTTCAAAACTGTGGCCTGAAAGTTGTATATGTTAAGAAATGTATTTCTCAGTGGCAGTATTGGACTGCCTTTATCTGTAAATTTTAAAGTTTGACTGTATAAATTATCAGTCCCTCCTGAAGGGATCTAATCCAGGATGTTGAATGGGATTATTGCCATCTTACACCATATTTTTGTAAAATGTAGCTTAATCATAATCTCACACTGAAGATTTTGCATCACTTTTGCTATTATCATTCTTTTAAGAATTATAAGCCAAAAGAATTTACGCCTTAATGTGTCATTATATAACATTCCTTAAAAGAATTGTAAATATTGGTGTTTGTTTGACATTTTAACTTGAAAGCGATATGCTGCAAGATAATGTATTTAACAATATTTGGTGGCAAATATTCAATAAATAGTTTACATCTGTTAAACATTTCTTTACTTGAAAAAATACATATATATATATATATGAATATATATATATGATCAGAAGACCAAGATGACTTGGTGTAATGTCTAAAGAACTAACGGGAGCTTACTAGCAGTTTATCAGATAATAAAGCAACAAGAATTCTATTTTTTGGTCCTTAATCACTCTGGGCAAAAGGTAGTCAATGGAAATATTTTTGTTAGTTAATATATTTGAGGTACTGAATATTTTTGCAGCCTGTTTTAAGAGACTTATGAGAAAGAAATGGCAATTTATAGTGTCTTCACACTATAATGTCACTTTTTCAACTCTATGACAATGTAAAATTAAGGTTTTCTGGTATGCTGGGCCCTAATAAGCTTTGTACCTTTTTTCCAAAAATAGCCACAACTAATAGTAATTTGAAGCTATACCAGTGCTAGTTGGTTTGAAATTGTCATGAGTGTTATAACTGTTATACACACTCTTTAAATATATAGAGCTTTGTTTCACCATAGAGAAGTTTTAAGGAAATTATGTATCAAGTGATCATGTTAAGTGATTTCATTTTTCAATTATGATAAAATAAAGGGAAAATCAGGATTTGTTTATCTTTTATAAAGATTTTAAATGTTAAACTAAATTTCTGTTTGGCAATATACATTTCTTTGCTATAATGCAATTTAGTTATTTTTAAACTTTTTTCTTTATTTTTAAAAACAGATTTTTAAAGAATTACTGTCAATGGCAGTATAAAAGGAAATTGTCCTATTAGATGTGAATAGGAAATATATGGAAAGAAGCAAAAAAAAAAAAAAAAAATAGACAATTGGGTGAAATCTCATAATTTATGGACATTTTACTGAGTTGATTTTTTTTTTTTTTTTCAAAATACACAGCTGGTAAAACAAATGGAATTGGTGATTTTAATACAGTTTATTTTTTATATAAATTATTCATTCTTGGAAATAGATGGTTGTTTGCAAAATAGACTTGTGAATATATGAAGAAAAAATACACTGTTTTATCTTTTTCTGAGCAGCAAACTTTTCTAATATAGACTAATACTATCTTCCCTCCAATTGTCTTGACCTCTTTAACAGAACTCACCAGTTAACCAGCCATTCCCCAAGTCATCTGTTTTTATGAGCCATCTATCTTTCCATTTCACTGTCCAGTATCTCTGGCTTCTGTTTTCATGAAGTTTATTGGAAAGTTTACTCAGAAGGAAGGTTTGTTCTCAGGATAATGCTGTTTCTTACATAATCCTAATGGGGGGCATGTTTTGATCAATGAGGAAAAGGCTAATATGGCCCCAGTCAGATTCATCTCCAGAGAACAGAAAGAAAAAGGAGAGTAGGAAACATTTGTTGAGCACCCTTCTCTGTGTCAAGTGCTATTTTAGATACATTAATTTAATTCTCTTAACAGTCCCATGATTAAACTATCTGTCTTGCAAGTGAGGAAACTGGCTACAAAGCTGGTAACTTCTGGCACCAGGATTTGAATTCAGTGTTTGCCTCCATGCTCTTTCCACTGATCTGTACTTCATCCATTGCTGAAAACACACCTTGTTTAGAATACTAATTCCCTAATACCAAACTGACAAAGCTCCCCTTGTCCACAGGGAAATGAGAAAAATTAGGATAATGTGATAAGTTTTTTTTCTTAAATATGAAGTTATGCATTTTAAAGGACCATTCTTTTTTTGGGTATGACTACTATGTTTTGGATATTTAAAATGCCCCTCCTCACACTTTTCTTTTTTTAAACAAAATGACATAATGGTCAGTGGTAGTTTTTTTTTTTTTTTTAATGATTGCAGTTTAATAGCCTTGTTAGCAAAACATGAGGTTCACAGCCCAGTATCAGTTCCTCCTAATTGTTTTTTTTTTAACTTTCTACATGGAAATGATTTAAAATTTACCAAAAATTGGCAAGAATTAAGAATAATACAAAGAACATCAGTACATCTTTTACCCAGATTCCCCTATTGTTTAAACCTTACCATTTTGTTTTTATCATTTGGTGGTTCATTTGCCCTCAAATCCCCTCTACTCTGGGATCATTTCCATGTCCCCCTTTGTCTTTTATGGCATTGATATGACATATTTTTGGAGAATGCAGTCTTTTTGTCCCCCTCCCCCTCCCCAATAGAATGTCCCTCATTTGGGGCTTCTGCATTAGGTTCAGGTTATGCATTCTCAGAATACTCCATCAGTGATACTGTCATCAAAGCATCACAGCTGGGGGCACAAGGTGTCCATCTGCTCCTCATTGGTGATGTTAATTTTGGTCACCTGGGCAAGGTGTTTTTCAGTTTCTCCAATATATAGTTATTGTTTTTTTACCTTGTGTCTAATAATCTGAAGAAGACTCTTTTAAGTCCATGCTATAACCAGAATTTAGTAGCCTTTGGTGATTTTTGCTTATCAGTCTTTGCTAGTTGCAAAATGCTGATTTTTCTAACTCCAGCGTTCCGTCCTCGTCTACCATTTGGCACTCAGCATTCTACTGTTAGCAGGAACCCTTTCTCCCCCAGCCATCCATTCGTTCATCTATACCTATGCGTGTACGGTTTTATATTAACTATTGTTTTGGACTCTTGGTTGTCTGTTTTTTCAGTGGCTTATAATTCATTACTTACTTTGGTGCGTAAATTGTCTTAAGTTTGCTCAGTAGGAGCTCCTTCAATCTGGCTCCTATATCCCTGTGGCATCGTTTTAGTTTTATTTATTTATTTATTTATTTTAGGACATTCTCTTAAATAAAAGATGTTCCAGAATCTGGAATCAGCAATTTCTCCAAGAAACCCTGGGGAATGACATTAGACACATAGCTCCGGTTGCTGGGTGTCATCTTCTAGGCCTATTCAGCAGACAGAATTAGGAAATGTGCATGTACAACCGTAAACACAAATATGCATGTGCCATGTACATTTTAATGTGCTTATATACACATTGTGTTTGATTTCAGAAATCATGAGTTCACACTAATACCTCCAATTTCTATCCATCCTCAGGGGTCTTGTCTTGACTTCCCCATTCCATATTTCTATGTCTCTGTTTTTTCAGAATTCTGGCACAAGTCAGTTTATTCACTTGGTCAATCCTGTAGTACAGCTGAAATAGTTCTTAGAATTGCTTTTGCCCATGTCACTGTAAAAAAACACTTAAAAGCTTGTTTGCAGTTCTCTCCCTACCTGTACTCTGCCCAGTAATAAGGATATATAATTACATTCTGTGTTCATAAATTACTTGGGTTAATTCTTTTTTCTCTCACTGTGATTATGTTATTTATTTGAAATAAATTGGATTCATTTGTTTCAGTTTTTTTCCAAGTTTAAGGTCCCCCCTACACACATACTTCACATCCTTGTTGATTTAATTTTTAAAAATACATGGAATGCTAACATGTTTCTAAAAGTCATAACTATACCAAAGGTTTACTGAGAAGTGTTACTCTCTCATATCCCTTCTGCCCCATTCCCCAGCCCCTTCTTGGGTATCCAACTTCACTGTTCCCCGCCCTCCATGTTTCTTTTCTTTATGAAGAAACGTAATGAAGGTGTTTTCTTATCTCCACCCGCCCCCCTTTCTTACAGTAAAGGTAGCATACATATAGAGAGATAACCTTTTTGCCCAGGCCTTTAAGTTTCTCGGGATGGGACTTTCAGTGCTAAAACTGGGAGAGTTGGGCAAACTGGGAGGGCTGGCCACTCCATAAACTTGCTTTCTTCAAAAAAATAAACTCATTGGTGCATATTGTACATATTACAAAATTCACATATATATCCTTAAAATAACTTTATTGAGGTATAATTTCACAAAATTCACTCATTTTAAAAAGTTGTGCAACCTGACCAAAATCCAGTTTTAGAACATGTTCATCATTCCAGTAAACTTTCTCATGCCTGGTTCCCACCACTCCCTGCCCCCTCCCCCGTTCCAGGCAACCACTAGTTACTTTCTGTCTCCATAGATTTTCCTTTCCTGGATATTTCATATAAATAGAATCATACAATATTATCTTTTGAGTCTGGCTTCTTTTACTTAGTATGTTTTTATGTTCATCCATGTCATTGCATATGTCAGCATTTCTGTCAGTATTCTTATTGCTAAATAGTATTCCATTATATGAATTCCTGTTTTATTTATTCATTTAATAGTCAATGGACAATTGAGTTGCTTCCTTTTTGGCCCTGATGCATAATGCTGCTAAGATCATTCATGTGCAAGTCTTTCTGTTGCCATGGGTTTTCATTTCTTTTGGGTAAATACCTAAGAGTGGAATTGTTGGGTTGTGTGATTAATTTGTATTTAACTTTTTAAGAAACTGTCATACTGTTTTCCAAGTGACTGTACCACTTTACATTGCCACTAGCAATATATGAGGGTTCCTGTTTCTCCACATCCTCTCTAACATTTGTTAATGACTTTTTTTTTATTATAGATGTTCTTATAGATACAAAGTGGTAGTTCATGGTTTAAATTTGCATTTCCCTAATGACAAAGTTGAGCATCTTTTCATGTGCTTATTAGCTATTTCACATAATGCTCTTACGGATTTTGCTTTTTTCACTTAGCATCTCCAGAAGTCACTTGTATTTTTCATAGAGATTTCTCTTTCTCTCTCTTCTCTCCTTCCCTCCCTCTCTTTCTGTTGTGGCCTAGCATTCCACTGTGTGGACGTACATAGTTTATACAATCAGTCTGCTATACTTGGGCATTCAAGTAGTTCAGTGTTTTGCAAAATTACAGATAATGTTACAACAAATGATCTTACATATTTATGTTTTGAAGTATACCTTCAGGGTGGATTCCCAGAAGTCGGATTACTAAGTGAAAAGACATATGCATATGTACTTTTATTACATATTGCCAATACTTTTCCATAAAGGTTGTGGTAATTCACATTCCACCAGGAATGTATGAAACTTTCTGTTTCCCCAAAACTTCAGTATGTTGTCAAGCTTTTGAGTTTTTGCTAATCTGATGGGTGAGAAATGATATCTCATTATAGCTTTAATTTGCATTCCTCTCACAATGAGTGAAGTTAAATATCTTTCATGTTTAAGGACCATTTTTATATCTTTTTTCATGATTTTGAATTTGCTCATGCTTTTTTTTAATCATGCAAACTTTTTTTTTTTTTTTTTTAATGTAG